CATATAATACTTTTTATTTATCAACTATATTAATAAGAATATCAATAATTTGGTGTTTTTTTTTAATTGTTATTTATCTCAATAAAAACAAGTCAAATAAAAAACAAGAACATAAATTTAACTGTTAAAATTAATAAAATTGTTTGTTGAGGGACCTACATTGACCACCACCACCTCTTAAAATATATTTATTTTTTCTATTTCGAATCATATTCAAATTAAAATTATAGTAAATAGGAAACTGGGATAATATTAGGTCTGGTTCCCGAATTCAAAAAATGCCGAAAATTCACCTCGAGTCAGTGGAAACCGAGAAAGACGGAGCATTGAAAAGAAGGCTCATAAAGACGCACTCAAACAGTCTGTTTGTGCACCGTTTCACCCACTTTCCAAGTCCTCCCTTGGCGCAGATCCCCCCCCCCCGCTTGCGGGGGGGGAACCACATCCGCGTCCACACAGTACGGACAAGGAAAGTGGGTTTAATGGGGACGCACAAACAGTGGCTGAAAAATGGACTTCCTTCAAAAAACACTCGCGGCAAATATTTTTTTTTGGTAAAGGTGGTGGTCAATGTAGGTCCTGTTTGTTGATGATAAGAAATATTTGTTAAACCTTTATAAAATTTTATAAAAAAACTCATTTCCATTTTTGGTTTTAAAAATAGTAAAAAAACTATCAAAATAAACCAATAAAAAAAAAGTAAAGAAACTCATAAACCTGTTTTGAATGAGTTCTCTTGACGATGTTTTCAGTAAGGGAGTTGAAAGCATTATCACTCATCTCAAAAACTGTACTGAAGAAAGTGATATCACACAATGTTTTCAGCGTATAGCAGACGAGTGTCGTGATGTCGAAGGTGCTCGTGAGAAATTGGTGAACAAAGACCTTTTGGTTTTTATAAGCTCAAAATTAAAATCTCCATCTGAAAGCTTAGCTCTCCAAACGTGTCGGTGTTTGGTCAACATGACGTACTATAATGAAGACGCCAGAAAGTGTTTATTCACTGAAGCAGATGCATTAAAAGAACTTACAAACATTGTTAAGTCGTACCCCACCTTACAACTTGTTGGTTTGAGTTGTTATGCTAACATGTTCGAATCGTGTGAAGAGCTTCAGACACTTTTAATCGACGACGGATTCCTTTCCGTTTGTGAAGCGTGCGTTTCCACGAATTACGCTACTGTCATTCGAACATTGAACAACATCTCTGTACTTGACAAAACCAATTTCATCTTCGCTTCACACTTTTTCGAGGTTTTCCTTGACTCAGTTCCTACTGATTTGGCCGACACGTCGTTCTCTGAAGTTGCTGAGTTCACAATCAGTCACTTGTCCTACCCCGAGTTTAGAAAGTGTTTTGTTAAACACTTCGGGAAGTTCGAAGTTTGTTATGAAAAGGCAATCGATGTTGTTGTGTCCCCGCTTTTCCCTAAAAATGTTGAAGAAGAGAGTCTAAACACCGTTTGTTTGGCTGTCAAAACAGTCTTTGATTTGTACGACTCGATTTTCCAATACCAAGACCTCACTTTCATGTACGAAAACATTTTGGACTTGACGATTGCTTATACCCTCCATGGAGATCTTTTTGCTAAAGACTTCATCCCAGCACCAACACAAGACCACACTTGTTCGATATTATGTCATGTTGCAACGATCGATCAATATCTTCCAAAAATTTTCGAGCACTATGCAACCTTTTTGAAGTTGACTGTTGGAACAAATGGGAATAGCAAGTTGATGGAATTGCAAAAACACGCATCGGGGATTTTACAGTCATTTTCTACAAATGAGGAATATTGCAAGAAGATGGTCGCTGATGATGTCATCACGCAATTTAAAGTTCTCTTCGATGGGATGGGGATGAACAACCAACCACTTATTTTCAGATGTTTGTCTGTATTACACAACATGACGGTCATGTTAGATGACAAGAGTGTCTTGATGACCGACTCGAGCTGTTACCTTATTGTCCAGACATTCAAAATGATGGGAAACATTGTTGTTAGATTTTCTGCGGTTCAGTGCTTAAGAAACTTGATCAACGCTGACGCGAAGTTCTTTGAAGTCTTCAAGAAGAATGGTGGATGTGATGCGCTTCTTGATGTTTGTCTTGGGAAAGATGAGAGACAAGAGAATCAAGAGCAACCTGATAAACGTGTTCGTTACGAGTCGACTCGCATTTTAGTTTCTATCTTAAAGACCGACAAAGACAGATTGAATGATTTTGCAAGAACAGATGAGGTCTATAAGTGTCTTCTTGAGAATTTGAAAACAGACTTTGCGCTCCTCATCAAGGAAGTGATGACCCTCATTATCCAATTTATGGATTGGGGATTTTCGATTCCAAATGAAGTCCTTGTCGAAATTCGAGCAGTGGTGAAGGACAAGCTCGAGACTCTTTTGAAATCCCCTGCCGAAAACCAGACTATGAACAAAGACGTTTTGGACGTCTTTGAGAAATTCTTGAACCACTAAGCCATTGATCCCTTTTCTGTTGTTACCGTTCCGGTAATGTTGTCACCACCGTTTCAAAGAAAAATTCAACATCATTAAATAATTAACGGATAGTTTGATTATAGTAAATCAAATTGCATTTCAATTACTCGGATCGAGATTTGAGAATTCGACGAATAAAACAAATCATCTTCAAATGACAATATGAGGAGTTTCAGAATGAAAAAGACTAACGCGATCTCAGCGCAGTCTTCTCCTACAAGCTTCTCGCCTCGTCTGAGTTATGTTTGTGCATGTTTTTCGTTGTGAATTTCAAGTATGAATAACATTTTCAAGCGTTTGAAATTTGAATAACAAAAAGGCGTCCTTTGAGAATACCACTTTGTTCTTGGCCCAACATAAAGACACACAACAGTTGTGCTCTGCTAGAAAAATTGCGGACGAGTTCACAATGAAGATGTCGGAGATGATAGAAGAGATAGAGTCTGGGATACTGTCCTTTCTGAAAGTCGATAATAAGAGCATTGAAGAGAAGTACCCGTTTTTGAATCATCCGTTTGTCGAGGGAAAAACATTTGATATCACAAACACCGAATTTCCGATTCCACAAGACTCTTTCATCTTCGCTCTGCGTTTCTTCCACCTCGCGAAAACATTTTTCAGGCTCCTCAAAATTGATAAAAGCTTTCCACTGTGTTACTCAGCTTTCCCATATACCGCGTCACTCAGATCATTCTTCGCTTATTTTAAACATAACAATATGATCACTAAAAGTGGCGAAGAAAAGGAAAAACATTACTTTTTCAATTTGACAGACAAAATCATGTTACTCTTTTTCGAACGAAATGTTGTGTACCTGAGACTCCTCATGAACGAATACAACGAGTTTGTCGATACACAAGAAACACTCTTGAGGATACAAAAATGCAAAAGCCCACGAGACTACTTTCCCCACGAAAAGTTGATCAACACAAACGAATTTTACTCGTACGACTTTTACGCAAAAGAGGCGTGGGACGTCTCAAACCAAATTTGTTTGATATGTGGGACACTTGAAACTCTCCGCCAGATTAAAAAATGGAAAGACCGGAACGTGATTGAAAAGCGTGAAGACATCGATGCGATAATTGCCGCAATAAAACTGAATAAGTGGAATTTGTTGAAAAAGGGTAGAGTGTTGATCGAAGGCACAAACATCTTTGGCCCGTTTTGTGTTGGCGGGGAACTACTGTTGTTTGATGGTGGCGTCTTACTCTTTGAGACCAAGGAGGAGAACGTTGAATACCGAGGATGGTCGCCTATTGAAAACATCACAACCGATCAAATTAAACCATTTAAAATATTTAACAATGAAAACCAGTGTTCCAGTTTAGTGTTGACCCTCAACGAAGGCATTGCCAAAATAATTGGAACGTTCGAAGACTTGAAAGATTGGTTAACTGCGATCGAATCTTTGGTGAAGAAGTTTAAAGTGAACAAAGACCAAACCCTGTCTTTGGGTGGAAACACTGTGATTAGAAGGTCAAGAAAGTTTTCGTTTGCTACGCCAAGAACTTCAATATCATCAAAAGTGTCGCAAACACTGAGTTGTGGCGACTTTATATTAAACAGTGAGATTTACGAAAATATCACCAAAATGATTCAAATGGGGTTTCTCTGTACTACTCAGGAACAAAAAAAGAAGGTTGAAAGTTTACTTTCACAGATTGATAAATTGCTTGACAAAAAATCCAAAATCCTTGGCAAAGATACATTAGCACCATTCGTAAATATCAAGTCAAAAGACCCACAAAGTATAAAAATCGTGCTAGACTCTATTTTCGACATGAAAAACAACAAGGAGAATTTGATCATTGTATACTTACTCCTATTGTTAGTATACCAAAACTACACAACACTCAAAGAAAGTAATTACCCAGAACAATCTTTACTTATCAATGATAAACTGAACATCACCAAGCTTGTACATCACATTTCAAAGAGAATTGGAGACAAAGACGCAACAGACAACTTCTGTTTTGTCCTTGAAAAATTCCCACATATCATCTCAGGAGTCAAGAACATCTTTGGTGAGAACTTGATTACACCACTCATGCTTTTGAAAACACAAAAAGCAGACTATATAACGACAGTCAACCACAAAGTTTACATCGCCAATTCCGAAGGGCAAATTGAAATTAGAGATTTTGATGGATTTTTGCTAATTCGACATAAGATAGATGAAGGAGTGATTCAAATAACAGGATGTAAAGAGTGTGTATTGGCGCTCACCAAAACAAAGATGTACAAAATCGGAGAGACTGTAAACAAGATAAACAGTGAGCCGTGTGACTCATTTTTACATCACAATAATTTCTTCTTTATGGTATACCCCTCGAAAATCGGGTTTTACACTGTCGACTTAAACCCCACAAAAGAGCGAAATGTTGTTCTGAAAAACCCGAGATGTGTATTGGGTAGTTCCGACACTGTCGTGGTAGTGTGTATTTACGATAACTTGTATCGTGTCATTACTATAGACCAAAATTTGGAGTTTACTGAGATTGAGGAATTGGTAAACAACGAGGAGCCTACGTTCTTAACAAGTGCGCTTGATTTTGTCTATGTTGGGACAATCACGGGACGTGTTTTACAGTACATGGGCGGTGTTCTTATAATGGAGAAGATGTTGATGTGTGGTAAGATCAATGGTATCCAGTGTATGGGCCGCTTTTTGTTTGTCTTTGGTGATGAGGTTCCAGTCACGATATTATACGAGAAAGGACTTGTTGTTCTTTACATGTCTTCTCTTTTGGGGTTTGAAAAAGTGCGGTGTTGCAAGGGGAGTGCTGACAAGCGAGTTGTGTCTCTGTGTGGAGGGATGCGCCAAACCTTTGTTGCAAATCGGAAAACCTCCTCGTCTCGGAGTGTGACAAATAATTGTGTAAAGGAAAGAGTGTCAGAATTTTTTGGAATGACGCCAGATGGCAATTTAGGCAAGTTTTCAGGTATAAACTTCCATCGTAAAGAGGACATTCTCAAAGACAAAAACGCATTTGTTGTGAAAAGGCACAAACATGTGTTTTACAGGAAACAGGTATGTTGTGGGGTTTGTGATATGTGTATGGGGGCTGTTGTTGGCAATGTCATCGGGTGTCGGTTGTGCTTTAAAACATACCATGAGGGGTGTGTCAATGTAGCTGCGTTATTTGACGATTGTTTAAATTGAATTTTGTGTGACTTATCATTTAAACAAATGATAGTGGATTGTGGATAGTGGTATTATAATAGTAGCCTTCTGAGCAAAGAAAGAAAAAGTAACAGAACGAGTCAATTCATTGAAAGGGTCACAACAGAATAACCCAAAGCGCATGGATAAGTCCAGGTATGAAAAAGAATATTGTAAGAATGCAGTTCAAAACAAAGCTGAATCCAAGACCATCTTTTAAGAACACGGCCAAAGGTGGGATGAAAATGGCAATGATGACCAACACAAGTGTTCCAAGAACCATTGTTTTTTACAAGTAAGGTTTGTTTTTGAGGTATCAAAAGACTATTAATAGCATAAATAATAAATTCATACTAATAATATATTTACTATAAAATAAAATATATTATTTAGTTACACCCGTTAATCAAATATTTCAATACAAATAATTTACTATTTAATATTATTTTTTAATTACTTGTTATAGTTTGAAATAACGACACTAACATCGAACATTCTTTTTGATCTATTGTTCACAATCTTTCAAGAAGCTAAATAATTAAATAATAATGTTTTATATTAAAACTATAAATTAGTTTTTTTGAATATTTTTATTAATTCGACTTTTTTTAATTAACACTTGTTTTTCATATTGACATGTTATTAAGGGATATATAGTAAATTTTTGATATTTTTCCCTTTTTTGGTTGTGTAATTAACATGACTTAATAAACTTTTTAAAACAATGGAAAAATATTAAATAAACTCGAGATTTCCTTTTTATTACAATTTGATTTTTGATCAACTTTTGAAATGTTAACAAAAAGATTTTGATGAACAAAAAAAATACAAAAAAACAATACCATTTTTAGTATTATTATAATATTTTTTACTACTAATAATAACATATTATTATAATTTAATAATATTATTAATTTTTATACTTAATAGAACTTTTTAAGAACATCTGTTTCTTCATTAAGAGATATCAAAAAGAGAGACTTTGAATACACAAAACAGTTTTCAACTCACCACAAAAATTGCATTTCAAAGTATAAATTTGTTGTGTTATTTTGACTCCAATAAAACTCTTACAAATATGCATTATCTTCAAAACTATATTTTTAAACCTTAATGTATTTCATATAAAAAGAAGCTTAAAAGTTCTATGAACCATTTCCTTTCTTTTGTCTCGACTATATAAATAGTCGAGATATATATGAATACAATATAGGCTTGAGAAAGTCAACAACCTAAAGAAAAAACAGAACAGTCAATACGAATCACTTCTTTGGTGTTTCGTTGAGTAGATCCTTATAATAATTCAATTCATTTTTCAAGTCGACGTACTGTTGTCCTACAACACTCATTTCTCGAAGTAAGTCGTCGCGCTCCAAATTAGAATCTAATAGTTCTTTTGCTATATCAACCACCGATTGACTTTCTTGTGTTTGTCCTTGTTGAATGATGTTCTCGACGTCATGGAGTGATAAAGAGTCTTCCATCATTTCCTTAAATTCTTTCAACGAATTATCCAACACCTGCCCTTCGAAAAATCGAAGGATGTCGCTAACGTTTTCCTTAGTTTCCTCCATCACCACTTCTCTATTCTTTTCTTAGTTGTTTTTTTAATTAAAATATCTAATTCAATGCTATTAATTATTTTTTATTATTTGAAACTATTCCATCCTATTTTTCTCATTCCCTTAACATCATCACTAAACTATAAATTTAAAGAACTATCTTTCATTTTCACCATCAAGACGTAATTTCGGTGAGTCCGCAAATGGATTTTCTTCTTCACTCTTCGGCACAACAGTGAACCCAATGTCTTCGAGAAGACAACATCTCTCAAAACATCCTTTCTCTATACTTTCCACATGCTTCAGATTGATGCGTTGAAGCTCCTTACACCCCGAAAAGCATTTTTTCTTCAATACTGTCAAGCAACTTGGCAGTTCAATACACTTCACACCACTCTCGAAAAACGTCTCCTCATCAAGTTCCTTCAAGTTACATTTGATCTCACAGATTTCAAGTGATGTGCACCCGGCAAACACGCGTTTGCCAAAGACACTCTCCCGGTCGTCCTTTCCACTAATAACAACTTTGGAGAGTGAACTGCAGTCTTCAAAGCACCCGTCCTTTAACGTCACATTTCCTTCAATTTGTATTTCATCAAGTTTCTTACAATCATTAAAACAGTTGCTCCCAATCTCTCTGATGTTCACCAAATTGATCTTCTCCAATTTAAAGCACTTGTTAAAACAGCACTTGGGGAGTTTTGTGAGTCCGTTTGGTATTTGGACCTCTCGCAATTTTCTACAACTCTCAAAGGTGTGCGCACACAACCCAGTCACGCTATTTGGTATCACTAAACTGATCACCTTGTCGTTGAAGAAGCAACTTTGGTCATTCACACCGTCGGGAATGATGTTGCCAAAGACCGTCTTATCATCGCCAATATAAAATACTCGTCCCGTGCACTTGATCTTGTTGTCGCCAAATAACTTGAAAAGGGTCGCCGACACATCTCCGCAATATTTCTGAACGCCTCCAGTGACTTCTCTCAGTGAAGTGCACTTTTTAAATGAATTGAGAGAAATCGAAGACAAGTTGGTTGATATCTCTATGGTCTTCAACGACACGCAATTCTCAAAAGCAGAGTCTCCAATCCGTTCAACCACTTTCAAGTCAAATGAAGTTAAAGAGGAGCACCCCTGAAAACAATAAGGGGGTATTGTGGTGATCATATGTGATGGTTTAATGTACGACAGCGACGTGCACATTCCAAATGATCTTTCATCCAAAATAGCAATTCGTGACAAGTCGACTTGTCTGAGTGGAGTATAATAGAAGCAGTCTGCTCCAATCGACGACAGACACGACGGAAAAGTGATTGTCGTGTTTTGGGAATAATAAAAGCACCCGTGTGCAAGTTGTTTGATATAAGGGGGAATGTTGTCGTGGCAATTGTCGTGGTCTTTTCGCTCGTAACGAACGTTTTTGAAGGTGATTGGTAACTTCGACTTCATAAGTGTTCTGTTGTTAGACCAAAAGACCGCTTCTCCTTTAAATCCATCAAGTAAAGTGTCGGACTTATGATAAAGTCGTTGTACCTTCATGTTAGGGAACATTGATAGTGACTGAACAGTAGTAAGAGTGACTGGGTTATATTCAAAGAGTGAAAGAACTCGCCGACACTTCTTAGATACCCGAAGGAAGCGCGACGCGTCTTTTTCTGTTTTCAGGAAACAGACGACTTGATGCAAAAGATCTTCTTCCATTAATGTGAGTTTTGGAGTTTTTCTTTATCAAAAGAAGACATTTTTTACCTGTTTTTGACAACGGAAAAAAGAAAATGACTTTGTTTTCTTTAGCACGTATTTTTGAAACAAAAACGACACACCTTTTTTAATTCTATTAAAAGTTAATACTAGTAACATTAGTTTTTTTTTATTATTAAGAAAAGTATATAATAAAAATATGGTAAAAATGTTGTACCACACATAAAAATCTTTTTCTCAAAATTTGATATTTCACTTTCCCAAAAAATTAGTTTGTTTTCTAATTTTTTATTATAATGTGGTTACTTGAAAAACGAGAGTGAATGGTTTAAGAGATACTTTATGGTTTTTAATATTATAGTATATTTTGATTAAAAAGAATTAAAATGAAACATATTTTTTTAATTATAAAAAAAAATAAAAAATAGAATGATAATAGTAAAATTATAGTTACCAAAAATAGGAAAACGAGATACCAGAATTCCCATAAATAGAATAGGCAAATGCAAAAACTAGTATTAAATAGTAAAACAAATTATACATAATAGTACATTAAATATACATGATGAAATTCAATCGCTTTGGATGAGGGAGGACTCCACGACTAACTTTTCGTCGGGTTTGATTAGTTCCATTTGTTCTGCATTATTCATATGAGTGAAGACACAAGACCTCTTTCTGATTTGCTTCAAACACTTTAATTTTTCATCAGAAGAGCAGCTGTACGTGTCGACATAGCCACCTTGGCAGTATTCACTATGTCTTTTATAGAACATGTGATATCCACCAACCAACAAAAAGGTGTTTGGGTAAGCAGCATGAGGGAATTGTCCATTTCTTTTCATAAAAAAAGCGTCGAGGTTGTTAAATTCCTCCAACGCTTTGACAGCTCTTACTGTTGAAAATTCGCAGTGGAAGACAATGAAGGTCTCACTCAGAACATTTCTAAAAAACAAGTTATACAATTCTTGGAGCGATGGGAGGGGGATGGACCCTTTGATGTGTCCGCCTTGCATCTCATATTGCGTTCGACAGTCGATGATCACAACATTGTTGTGGTTCTGAAGAAGGGACACAAGTGTTTCTCCAGTCATCTTAGTAGTCGCTGAGATCAAGCGAGAGCGCATGGACATATTTTGTTCATGGTGGGTTATATAGAGAAACCCCACTAGATTTGAGTGGTCTGTTATTTATGTTCTTCCAAATATGGAGATAGGAATTGAGGATTCCCCAAACAATTGGCTGGAATAAAAGGCATCACTAAATATCACATTTTTGGCGGAAATAGTCGGGAATATTGGCTCTTTTGATTTTTTCGAAGAACATGTGGTTGGGCAAGTGTGTCTGAAAAAAGCTCAATTTTCAAAAGAAAAAGCGATCAATTGCAATGGAATAATTCGGGAGGATTAAAAAATTGTTTTGGTATAATATATATACCAGTTTTGAAATACTTTATTTTGGTATACACTGGCATTCACAAGGGCGATTGGCCACTTTAGAAAATTTCACATTTTTTTTATGTTGGTGTTCACATTTTCCCGAAAAGATGGCCATCTTCGTGGATCATATTTCGAAAAAAATAACCGAAAAAGTGATGCCACGTCAGGCAATAATTGATTCATTGTTGTATTTCACAACCATTAGGTATTGAAAGGACTATTATGTAACAAATAATAGATTGAAAAAACGGGAAATAAAATGGATGGACCAATAGTGTTTCCACGCCTTTATTGTCGTTGTTGTTTGGAAGATAATTTAAGAAAAAAAAAGCGTTTTGCTTTGTTAATAATATGTAATATCATCTGCGTTTTTGAATAATTGTTGTGAAAAATTATAAATTGTTGTAAATGTATAATTTGTTTTATTATTTGTTATAGTTAATTCCCAGTTGGTTGTTTGTGGTATGCCTATTACTGCATCATATCAAAGACTCAAGCCATTTGATACTAATATTTTGAACTATATTATTAGAAAAAACATTTCGTAGGTAATGAAAAATAAATACTAAAACTTACAAAATGAAAAAAAAAGAACTTACAATTAAAAAGCCGAAACTGACAATTTTTTCCCTTCGATTTGTGTTTTTTCCTCACAATTTTGTCCATTTTTTAAGTCAAAATTTGCTTTGTGGTGAAAAAATCATAAAAAAGAAGTTATTATTAATATGTTTTTAATATTTGTGTAATAAAACAAACAAAATGCAATGTTAAATAAAATTTAACATTTTTGTATAGTAAAATTTTAATTAAATAAACCAATAAAAATTTATTGACCTTCATTGTAAAAAATAGGTGCTTAAAAAGTTTTGGCTTATGTCACTAAAATACAGAAAATAAAAGATTAAATGAAAAAACTGTAATGTTGTTATTTGCCTCATTTTGCCAAACAAAAACATCAAGAGACTGAACATAACAACACCATTTGTAAATAATGTTATTTTTAAGAACTTAAATTTATCATTCATTTAATTCAAACAAGCAACACACCATTTTTGATAACTTCCAATTTTCTTTCATTTCATTAACGATGACGATTTATGGTCTTATCACTTATCATTTATCACTTCAAAACAAATGATAACCACCACTGATTCAATTTTTTAAATGGTGTATTTATAGTAAATCAATAATAAAACAACCATTCATTTGTTTAGTATTTTATTTTTATAATTATAATAGTATTTATAATAAATGATACAGATATTTAATAGTTTAATAATTAATTCACGTGTTATCTTCAAACAGTATTTGCCGAATCAAATGAGTAGAAAACTGATAATTTTCTCAAACCAAATCAGATAATAAAAAATAGTCATTCGAACAATACAAAATGAACTAATAAAAAGATCCCTCCTTTTCTACGCAAAAAATACAAATTTGACTTTGAAAAAATACATTGAAATACCAAAAAACTCCATCACTTTTCCCCCGATTGGTAGCTAACATTTACCTTTTAAATTCCACAATGAAAAGAGGTTTGAACTGGAAAAAGCTAACTTTAAAAGTAAACTGAGATGGTTTGTTTCTTTCAAAAGCTTCGAATTACCACTTAAGTTGTAAATGGTTAACCGTAAATAGAAGTAACACATAGAATTACTGGACGGGGATGTTTCGCTTCCCGCCAATCCAAACACCAATCGACATATTGTTGGGGAAGGAAGACTGTACACTCGAGAAACTTTTGAATGAAGAGGACTTCCCTACGGAGATCCGGAAGAATAACGAACTCATCGACTTCTGCGTCGAACCAGATAACATTAAAAAATTCTTGCAATACACCACCTTCGATATCACCCCAACCGACGACAAAACACTTTTCGATAAATATCACTCCATCTGCATCTCTCTTTTCTGCGAAGAACCGTCTCATATCATCGATGTCATTGGAACAAATGAGGAGTTAATTAAATACGTGTTTTCTGCAGTACAATCGACTAATGAGAAAAGAATGAGCGCAGGTGGGTTGGTCCTTACCGCTATCATCCAAGTCCCTAACTCATTGGTCTACGAATTGTTCACAGCAGACGATTCAATGTTAAAGACTATTACTAGTCACTTGGAACTCGACGGATTTTTGGAGTCGATATTACAGTTGATGAAACTCGAAGACCAAGGAAAGGAAGGATGCATCGAGTGGATTTGCAAAAGAGGATTCATCCCAACTTTACTCAAAACGTTGATGGGGACAACATCCCTCGACATGATCGGAAATATTTCCATCTTCATCCACAACGTCGTCATGTGGAAAGTCTCAAACGACACATCTCATGCCTTCCAGTTCATCACACTCCTTAACAACGACCCCATCCTCCCCGACTTCGTGAAGTCGATTTTCGAAAGCCCGGATGATATGTATATGGGACACTGCTTCAGAATTGTTAGTAATGTACTTGCTTGCAGCACTATATTGACATACACTAACCCAAATGAACTCCCAGGCATCTTCAAATCACTTCTCCCATTCATCTCACAGTTCGACCAAGTCTTCCGTAATAGGAAAGCAGGGAATATTCTCAATAATTTGGTTTATATTGTCCTCTCACTCGTGCTCAGTGGGTTCCAACAAATCTACGACAAGTTGGCGTCGGAAAACGTATTGAACGTCATGATGGAAACATTCTACGGCGACCATTTGTGTACTATCCTGAGACAGACAATCCAAATGACGGTGTTGACCATTATAAATGGGAATATCACAAATATCAAAACCAAATTGTTGGACGGCGGGAAATTGCTGAAAACGTTTGTCGAGAAGGACAAAGAAGGAGAGAAAGAAAAGAGAGAGAAAAATATGGGCCCTGACTACTGGCTCATCGCAGCAAGACTTATGACCAACATCCTTCAAGCAGTTGAAGACAAGGAGGATGAGAACGAATTTTACAAAACTGTTTTGGACGATAAGGAGTTTGTGGAGTATGTCAAGAATGTTGTGATACCGCGTGAAGATGAAACAAGCGAGTACTTTAACAAACAAGATACCACCGCAGAGGAATCTGACATCTCGAACGACTCGCAAAATTTCCAGAACGACGAAGAGGACAACGGGTTCGTTAACATCGACGACGATATTGACGACGAAATCGTGGAGAGAAATTAACAACGATGCTGTTGTGTTAGCTATTTTTCTTTATTTCGTTTTGATGTTTCCCAGACGATACGCGACCAATGGAGGAATCAATTAATTTCTAAAACAAGCATCGCAGATGGGCATAACTGCTCGTCGTCAAAGGTCTTTGACTTGTCTAAGAGCTTGTGTTTGGTCAGCGTCTTGATGAGGGAGTAGTCGCGTGTGGCGGACTGGTTAGAGTCCACCCAATCGTACAGCAACTGTATTTTATCGGATTTGTTGAACACCCTTTTGACCTTTGTCCCGTTTGGGAATCTCACCATGACCGAAGACACATTTAAGCCGGTTGGTTCCGCCAACTTTTCGAAAAACGCTTTTTTTGACAACATGTCATCTTTCATTTTAGTTTTGAGGAGTTGTGATTGAATCTCGTTCTGCTTTGCAATCTCGCTTGACTTTTGAGACTCTTCAAGCTCTTTTCTTTTTTTCTCATTTTCTTGGGCTTTGAGTTCTTCCTGTTGCTTTGCGAGAAGAAGTGCTTTTTGGTACTCTGCCTCTTGTTCTTCACGCTCACGTTGTCGTTGGGTCTCTTCATTCTTTCGTTGGATAATCTCAACAAAGAGAGGATTGTATTGGTATGAGATTTTATTGAGTTCATTTGCAGTTATTGATGAGTAGGGCAGAACGGTGAGTAATTGACCAGTGGAACTGTTAAATGGGAAAACAACAGACACAGACGGGAATTCCGAGATCGCGTGGAGCTCTTCCAACTTTCTACCAGTGATGGTGTTGACGTTTGACACGTAGAAGTAGTAATTTTTGTTTATTGATTCCACAATCTCGAGATTTTGGAGAAGCTGAATGAGCATTTGAGAAGATTGAGGATTTCTGGGAGAGTGGTGGAAAATTAAAAGTAATTTGCAGTTATCCATCGACTGTTTAAACATTTGTGTGAAAGAATTTGTGTAATTTGTGAATAAATTGACCAAATCTTGTGAGTAAGTGTCCAAATCGTGTGAAAGTTGTGAACTTTGGAAGAAAGTGAAGAAATTTGAAAGTGTTTTTATCATCTTCTTTTGTAGTTGACCATTCCAGTTTTTTTATTTATACAAACAAAAATATTAATATATTTACTATTACTTTCTAGTACTTGAAAAATATACTATAATGTTATAATAAAACGCCATACATTTAAAAACTTTCTTAAACAGTTATTT